TGACTAATAGATATACTTTTCTCCATTTCATCGACCCAAATGGTATTTCAAAGTATAATTGTTTCCAAGTTTCAAAGTCTTAAGAGCGAGCATGAATTTCTTAGAATTTGATAAGTATCTTGAATACTATTCAAACGAGTTGCATTTACTTGATTTTCTTGAAACGAAACTCCTATGTTTCGAACTCTAGAAAATTTTACATTCGTAAATGATATTTTATCGCGGATTTGGACTCCAACCAAGGAGTTGGACCTGAACGTGTTTTTGAGAGGCACTAGACTTTTGGTGAGTGCTTCCAAATATCTGGTTGAACTTGACACTTGTTTTGATACTTGATCCATGAAAATACATGATACGAGATTTGTTGATCGGGCAAGGGTATACTTTATCGCACTTGCCCTAATATGATATCTACTTGTTTATTGTTGCAATTAACTTGATATATTTGTACTTGATTTGTAAGTGTGGAGCCGCAGTATGTACCACACTCTATCCGAGTGGGAGGTGCCTCTCATTCCCGTCTCCATACTTTTATTTTAATTCAGTCGATTGGAGTGTTACCTCATCGACTTTTGGGGACCCCAAACCCCACTGGCTAGTTAATCGAGTCGAGCCGGCAAGGGTTTGGTCGATTAGATAACGAACCATGGGTAGTTAGTAATGTCGAGTGGAGTGATATCTCCTCGACTAATCGGTATACTCGAGTATTACCACTCGTGTTTATTGAGGATTTTGGGCCCAGCAGGGGGTTTGAATGATGGACAGAGAGTAGTGTAAGTGGTGCTCTATTGGATTGGTTACTTACTTGAAGGTTGACGGAGTGTCAACTATTACTTGATCAAACTCTGGTGATGCAATGGAAATTTGGCTCCTGAGAGCCATCCGTATCCTTATACTTTGGAGTGATTATTGTTTATTGGATTATTGTTTCTTTTGAAAACTTTTACACTCGCTCACTTTGAGATTTGCTACTTGAAGTATTATTGCTCACTTTTATGAACTTTTCATGCTCATTACTTTGTTACATGATACTTGCACTTTTAAACAAGGGTTAACTTACTATTTGGAACCTCACTGGGCTTTTAGCTCATTCCACGTCATTTGTTTTCCTTACAGGGGGTACGAGCGAGGCGTGAGACGTACAGGCTAGCGTAGTCTAGTTATTTTGACTTTTGAAATTGTACTCACACTAGTACCCGACTAGGGTTGATTGTACTCGTATTGTAAACACTTTGAAGTATTTTGGTATGTAAAAGGTTTGTATCTGGATTTGAGCATCAAAGCATATATATTAAGTTGAAATGGGTGTGTTATTTATTTTCTAAGTATGTGCGTTGTTATTGTTTTTTTTTTCTCCTTGAATTATGAGTGAGTGAGTCCTGACGAGAGCTGGACAGGCGGTCCGCCGAACCCTTTGGTTCGCCTTAGGGTGAGGTGGGGCTGTCACAAGTTTAGCAAGAAGTTTCCATTTTGTTAGGGTGAGGTGGGGTTGTCACAAGTTTAGCAAGAAGTTTCCATTTTGTTATGATCCCATTAATTTTGTTATTGAGTTTATCAATCTAATATGACTTTTGCATATGGCAGGAGAGAACATTATTTATATATTTAGTTAGGTTATTTCACTAGATACTAAATTCTCATTTTGAGAAATCATTTTTTGAATAGTTTTGTTTTGCTTTTACATTTTGAATTTAAATTTCAATAGTCCAAAGTCCAAACAAGTAAAAATTTAAAAGAATAACTTTGGATGATTTTGATTAAATGTTACAATTTTACAGGAGAAAAATATGCTGCTAAACTAGGCGAAAATGCAATAAGATCACCATTAACATTGGCCATTCCATTAGCCTCGTATTTGTTCGTCCCCCCAGCATCAATTTATGGAAAAGAACTTATCGAAGAAAAATTAAAGACTCAATCAACAATTTTCATATTTAATGTAGATTAGTTAATAGAGCAATAATTTGATTTTAATTCTGATCCTCTCCGTTCAATTGTCGAATTACAATCAAATTTGGATTTGGATCCCCAAATTTACGTGTCCAATATCCGTGTATCCATATAAAGTTGAGTTGATGAATATATGTCTACGGCACCACATTAGCAGTTTAGCATCACCTCATTGAATAAAGGGTTAATCGCACTTTATCCCCTTTAAGTATATGCCGTTTCTCACTTTACCCCCCAACATTTATTTTTCCTAGTCTATCCCAAAAACTAACGGTCAACTCTAATGGGGATAAACAGAATATTGAAAAGACAGTAATATCATTATGAAAATAATGAACAACCTAAAATACCCATATATGCTGGTTTATGAAATATAAGTTTCCAAAATTTCCCTGGAATAATGGAGGGAAATTTCTCTCCATCTGGCATGGGACAAAAAAAAAATATATTAGGGAACAGACAAAAGTTTCCCTTTTGTCAATTTTGGGTCACCTTTTGTTCCCTTTTGCCATTGTCGGTCACCCCAATCTTTCGTTTGGCTGAATCCTTAGCAAAACCTCCATTAAAAAACTTGAAAATTCACCAGCATCTTGAATGGAAAAAACGGGTAATCAATGAAGTTGTTAGCATACGGCAGAATTGAATTTGAAAATTGTGAAAGGAGATTATGAGAGCTTGGGCAGCCCTTAAGGTTCGATTTTGCAATTTTTTCTCGATTTTAGAAATTTCTAATTTTTGAATTCTCAGCTTACACAGCAAGGAAATTGGCCCGGAGAATATCGGAGTCCAGACGAGAAGATGAAAATTGCTGAAGGAGCGGTCATTGTGCCAGGCAGATTGTGAAGCAAGTGAAGGATAAGGTAAGCAGAAAAGTAGGGCTCGACATCACCAACACAATCATAAGCAGGGAGGTGCAGACAAGGGATGATGACGAACACGTTGTTCTCCTCAAACCCAACAAACCATCTAATACTAATAACAAGAAGTTGGCCTTAACAAGAGTACCAGTTGGCGATGATTCTAGCCAAGTCAAGCAATTAACACCATCTTGCTCTTCGAGGCTCTCGGAATATTATTATTATTATCACAAGAACAAGCCCCCAGTTGTCAATAGCACTCAGTCTGCGCAACATTCTCCAAGGCTCTCTCAAGTTGCTCCGAGTCTACAAGAGCATTTACCAAATCACCAACAAAACTCCCCCGCAATCAAGAAATGCAAGAAGGATGCCGTTGCCAGCCAGAAATACACCTTTCGTCTGAAAAAGCCTCTGCAATTCCGATGGCATTAGGAACAAAAAGGAAGAGCCATTCATTCGTTCAGCGACCACAAACAAAGGAAACGTCGCAGACAAGAAATGCAAGAAGACTCTGCTTTCCCATGACCTTCTCAACTGCAGTACTGCGGCCCCAACCCTCTTACCTGTCAAGAAAGACATCCCTTTTCCAGCGACCAAATTAGTATGTGATAAACAGGTAAAAAATAAATAATTAATTACTGCCACAATAAAACCATCTTTGACGTTCTTCTTTTGCTTTAGTTCTCTATACATATATTTTCTTTTTCTTTTTCTTTTTTAGTTTAAACTTTTGGGGGTCTTCTTACTAAATTTTAGTTTGTCAACTCGTGTCATGGGGCCAAAACATAAAAATTTAAAAAAAAAGTCCCAAGCATCTGATGCTGAAACGTGGAAAAGGCGCAACCAAAATTTATCACTAGTTGTTCGAGCCAGTCATACAACAAGAAGCAACAGCAGGAGCAGCAGGAGAAAGAGGCGACGCACATACTCACCACCATTACTCAAGAAAACATCAGACACCACTGAGCGGCATTTTTGTCAGCTAAAACTAACGGCCCTTTTCGTGTGGTAATTTCATAATCTTAAAGTTTTTAGGGTTAATCACATTTTATCCCCTTAAAGAATACCCCATTTCTCAATTTACCCCCTAACCTTTAATTTTGCTCACTTAACCCCCTTTAGGACAAAATTGCCCTTGCATTATTTTGACTTTTCATTTACCTTGTTTTCCTTCCTTTTATTTCTTTCTTCTTTATTTAATTCTTTTTCTTTCCCACAAAAATCTTCACCTTAATGATTGAAATTAAAAAAGAGGAATTGCAGATATCTATCTTCTCCTTAAATTATTAAAAAAGTATTCAAATCACTTTCCTAAAATACAATTTTTTTAGTCTTTCAATTCTTTTAATTTTAGGTTTTCCTCTTTCCTTTCTAGTTTCTCATTTTATTCTCAAGAAAATATCATAAGATGAAATTGTTTTCCTTTCTTTTATTTTTTTTTCTCTTTCTTCTCTCTTTCATCCTTCCCAATAGAAATTCCATTTCAACGAAAATTTTTGTTTTGAGTTTGTAATTGCATATTTCTGGGTGAATGTTTAAAAAGCATCAAAAACTAATTTTGATTTTTTGTGTGATGTCACGTGTCACAAATTTCAATTGATGATTATTAATCAAATCACAATTTCATCTTAAGATATTTTCTTGGGAATAAAATGAGAAACTAGAAAGGAAAGAGGAAAACCCAAAATTAAAAGAATTGAAAGGCTAAAAAAATTGTATTTTAGGAAAGTAATTTGAATATTTTTTTAATCATTTAAGGAGAAAATAGATCTCTGCAATTCCTCTTTTTTAATTTCAATCATTAAGGTGAAGATTTTTGTAGGAAAGAGGAAGAATTAAATAAAGAAGAAAGAGAAAAAAAATAAAAGAAAGGAAAACAAGGTAAATGAAAAGTCAAAATAATGCAAGGACAATTTTGTCCTAAAGGGGGTTAAGTGAGCAAAATTAAAGGTTAGGGGGTAAACTGAGAAATTGGGTATTCTTTAGGGGGATAAAATGTGATTAACCCAAGTTTTTAATGGTGCAATTGCTTAGCTGGACTGACGGAGGGGATAAGTTGAGGAAAAACAAACGTTGGGGGGTAAAGTGAGAAATGGCCTATACTTAAAAGGGGATAAAGTGCGATTAACCCTTGAATAAATGTGCATTCCCCTAAAAGGATTTGTTTGCAATACAACTGTGAGGACAAGGATAGAGGAACATGATAACCGTTCATTCTTATATTTCATCAGCCTACACGAGTGATTGAGACCAGCCACATTCTACATGATACATACAGAATGAAAAACAAAAATTTGACTTGGGTCTGAAAAATGTGTGCTTCAGAATTGAGGAATTACTGTATAATGGACATTTGCATTAAATGCTCTAGACGGCAAATCTGCTTTTGCTCATGAGCCAGGAAAAGAGATGGGACCATAGAGAAATCTTTTCTCCAGCAGCCCCTATAGGAGCACATCAAATGAAAGAAAAAGCAGAAATACAGGGAAGCACAGTCAACCTTGCAAGAAAATCCCAAAGGTGCTTAAACAAAAACAAACATTTCAGAAGTTTAAAAAGGAAATAAGTTTTTTGATGATAGAAAAGGTAAATTTGTGAAATGACTTGGAAAAATTCAGCAAATTTCAATCATTGATTCAGCATATCTGATATATTGACCAGCTTATCATAGAGAATCCGATCATCCCTCCCAGTGTTGCTCTCTAGAAGGGCACTTTGCACAAGTTCCTGGTCCGTAAAGTAAATTTGGTAAACGTAAACAAAATGTAGCATATAAACAGACTTCTAAATACAATTGCAAAAGAAACAAAAACCAACCTTTACATCTCTGTGCGAGAGGAACTTCCCCAAGTTATGGATGATAAATCTCATATCTTCAACCTGAAACAAGAAAGATACAGCATAAAATACAAGTTCCATGGTCAACGCATAAATGTACAAAACAATTGACAGCCACTTACCCTTATATACCCAACACGATTCCGGTCGAAAAATCTGAAAGCCTGCTTCAAAACAAAAAGGTTGACAAAATACAAGAAACATAGCAAGAGAAAATTGCAATAAACCCAACCACCAACAACAGAAATGCAGACAGAGTTTAGTGACATGCCTGCAACAGGTCCTTGTCAACTTTATTTCTTCCTTGATTGTTTATATCTGTCTTTCCAATTTTCTCCTCACTGCCTTGAACTAAATCAGGCTTTGTCTGTTGGGCAACAACATTAGCAGTATCCTTCTGATCTTTTGGACCAACAGCATCCTTTCTACTTTTCACATCAACATCCATCTTGCCAACTTGAGAATTTTTCTGCAAATGAAGCATATATGGTTGCAGCTATGTGAAAGCTAAATCAACAAAAGTATCTCCATGCTCTTCAGAAGAATCATATCATCCTTAAGAGACACCTTTTCCTAGATCATTTGATATCCTCCGGAAAGATTAGAAAAATTAATTACAAAGGTTACAAGCTATAAACATCGATAAATTCACAAAAGATATGCCAAGCCCTAATGAAACCATTTTCTCTTAGGAGCTAGCTAGCTTAAATCCGGGACTAGGATCTTTCCTAATTTAAGACCACGCTTATACAATTTTCTCCTCCAAGATATAAATCCAATGAAATGTTTTCTCTGTATTTCACGTATTCATATTTTCTCTTCAACAAAGATCATGTTGAAAAGTACAATAAAACCCAAGCATGCTTAACTGTTTTATCTGAAGGACCAAAAGTTACTCTCTGAAGAAAGCATACTTAAGAAAGCTCCAAAACTCCTAGAGAGACCATTACTCAGAGAGGCTAAAGTGGCTGCACGTTGCACGAGTTTTTCCAAAATAAAATAGCAAATGCATGTCCAATATCCAGTTTCACCAAAAATTGTTGGCTCATCAACTTTTCTGTGCTGAAACCAAGTTTTCAACTGTCACAATATTGCTTGCTGGGTCAGTAGTTATTTTATTCGCCAAAAAGTTTTGGGAGAACAGAACGTGGTCATTGATGATTCAACAGGAAAGAACACAGTGAAGAACAGCCCCCCAAGATTTGAACAATCCATGCCTATACAGAGAGCCTAACACAGACTAGAATGATAGCAGGCTGCAATTGACTTTTCCATACATGAAAACGCAGATACATGTTTCAAATCCACTTTCACTAATGAAATGGTGGCTCATTGAATTTTATCTGCTTAATACAGATAATAAAGCTGTTATGTCTTGGTTGTTGGATCAATAGCATCAATATTCATTTCTTTTGCCTGGAATTTAGAGGACGAGGTTATTGATGATTCCGAACTGGAGAACACAGTGAAAAATGGCTTTGCAAAGTTCCTACCTACAGTCAATGGCACCATCATGTCAACACCTTTATCCCAGGGCCCATTTGCATTCACACAAATCTCCTAGCAAAATTTCCAGAAACAGCATACCAGGACAATAATCTAATGCTCATCAAGACAATAATATGTAAATAAAAGAAAACAGTGATCCAGTGCATTCTCTCTCTTCAGCATAATCTCAACTCAGTCCAAAGCCACCATTTTGTCCATCATTTACACTGAAATATATGATATCCAAAGCCCAACTCATTATAAAGAAAAACGACTATTGAACTGACGCCTGCAATCTTCTCTAACTCAATAATAATTTCATATTCAACAAATCACAATAAGTTCGCTGAAAGCTAGAAAGTATATAAAACAGGATACACTAAAATAACCATCTAACAGAGGTGCTTCCCAACTGTAAGTTTCAGATGGAGAATAAATCCTATAATTTTGCACAAGAAACAAGTTAGAGACAACTTAGGAGCCCTATTAGCCCAACTTCGGTTGGGCAGCCCAAAAATTCATTCTGTTTTGGGCCCAGACCCATAACTAAGTTACTTCAATTTACTACTTCCAGCCTTTCTTAGTTAGGTGTAACAGTAAAGACTACTCTAGTCAGAAGCTTATGAATGAAGCTTTATTATTTAACTGACTAAGCTGATGTAACACTGATTTAAAATCAAACTAGTGCTGATATCCAATGTACATCACCTCTACAAAAGGTGATGCAACCCATTAAGAGAGGAGCTTGTTGGCAGAAGTACCATTTCAGATTTCACATTGGTGTTTAAACAATTTCTAGTAGGTCATTTCTTGCTTTTACTAAATGAAATTCCTAGATTCCATTTAGCCTATTCTCCCAAACTCACTTCATTTAGTTGTATCCTGAAAAAATAAGCTCTCTTCTCCAATCAGTTTTGATCCAAGAAGACAGCTGCATCAGTAACACCGTGTCAATTATAGTTAATTCCAAAGAAAGATGCATGCGCACATACTATACTGTTATCCTGTAAAAACCTCTACCAAATATCTACCCATTCTTACATCCCTTCTAGTTCTCATTGTCAAAATTCATGAACATGGGCCAAATAGTTATTGTTTGATAAATTTCTTTTTTCATTCAGATATACTATGGTGATTTATGTTGTCTACAACAGACAGAAACCAGATATCCCTCATCATTACAATTCCAACAACATTTATAGTACTCACCACAATCATTCCCAGGTTCCTTAAAAAATTCACCAATTTTTAAGCTGCACAGACCTCTTAAAACTGGGGACTTGTCCGATACCCACTTAAAACTCATATAGCATTAATACAGATACCAAAAGATTAGATTAGAAAGAGAACAAATTGAACCAGTCATTTGGAGAAATCAGAAAAATAAAGAAGCCTTGCCTCATTAGCCAAGTCATGCTGTGGGACATCTGAAAGTTCCTCCACTTCCTCAGGGTCTTCCTCTTCATTGGTTTCATTTTTCTTCACATCTTCTGTCACAAAAGGCGTAGTAGTCTCATTGACAATTGATCCTTTTCCCTCTGGACTTACTACCTCATCAGTTTCAGTTTTATTGAATTTAACATCTTCAATAGTGCCATCTCTTTTTTGTCGCCTGCCTGTTGGTTTCTCCTCACCTTTCTTTGTACAGTCTTCTTCCCTCTGTCTCTTCCTTTGGTTCCTCTTACTCACAAATCTAACCCGCAGTTTCTGGAATAGAAGTGGACAAAGTGGTTGTGAGAACTTAAAAAAAAAAAAAGACAAAAAGACAATAACACCAGCAATAAGCAATTGTCAATAAAGGATCAGAATGCCTTCAACCATACCTGAAGAAAAGTCAACAGCCGAGAACCCATTTCATATTGAAGCATCTCATACAGTGATTCAGCAAATAATGAAAGCTGAAATAAGCATGTAGTGATCAGGAAGGGCAAGCAGAAGTATCTCAATTCAGAGAAAGCAATACATGCTTAATGAAGCCCTTCTAAGAAGTGAAAAACAAAATATAATTCAGAACCCAATAACTAGAGAAGACCCACAAAATACCTCAAATGTTGATTCTTCAGTAGCCTTTTCGTTATAATCCAAAAGTGAATCCAGAGAGAGTGACAAGGACTGCAACTGCAGTTGAGGATTTTATAATTAAGTCAAACTGTGTGCTAAGACAGATTCAAAGAAAGAGGTAAATATGTGTAGTTACACACAAATATAGATATAAATATAACCATATTTTAATTTGGACCTACCTTTAAATCCTTGCTCCCTTTTGTTTGAATAATCAACCCAGGATGGCGAGGGGCCTCATCGCTGCTTCTCTTTTCCTTCAACTCTTTCTTGAGTTTGTTTGAGTCATCCTTTTCATCTCGACCTCTCCTCTCTTTCTCATCTTTCAAGTGTTCCCTTTCTTTTGCTTTTGCATGATCATCACCCTCAGGAATCTTTTGCCTGTCTATCCCTGTTTTGGACTCAGAAACATCTACTTGGTCAGCCCTCATCTCTATCTTTTTTTCTTGCTTCTCAGCATTCACAGCTTCTGTTTCTATTGTAGAGCTAATATAGTTTCCTATGTTCATATCAGTTGACTGTTTGCTGTTAATTCCTGAAGTTTGAGCCTCCTTAATTTGGTCCTCATTATTATCCTGAATCAACTTTTCATCCTTCACATTCCCTTTCTTAGTGCCAGCATCAGTGGCATCATTGTTGCCATCCTTAGCACTTGCCTTTTTTTTAGGCACCCTTCTAATTATTTTCTTCTTCACAGCTGTCTTTGCACCAGCACATTGGGCCACCATGGTATTGCCTCCATCTGGTTTAAAGCTTGCCTTGTCTTCAGCACACTCAAGTTCGTTCAAAGATTTTCCCTGAATCCCTTCAGGCATCAATTGACCATCTACTCTCTCTGCAGCTTTACCAACCACAACCTTTTTAATGATTTTCTTTCTCTTAAACGTTTTAATCTCTGAAACATTAGCAGATGAGCTATCCTGTTGACCGGGAACTTCTGGATCTGCAGGTTTCTCCCCACTATCTTTTCCACCCAGTAAATCAGCCTGTTTACCTGCTGTTTCCAGATTATCCTTTTTTGCAACTTTCTGTTTAACAACCTTCCTTACAATTTTCTTCTTTCCAGGCACTATGGTATCAACTGTCTGCATACTTTCTTGTTTATCCTCTTTCATAAGATCACTGCCACCTTGGACACTTTCAAGCCCTTCTTTATTCCTAACATTTTGGTCAGTCATTTGGCAGTCTTTCTCTGCCACATTCCCTTTATCATTGCTTCCATGTAGCTCGTCATTATGAACATGTGTTACCTCTCCAGACAATGAAGTTTCTTTGTTTTCATGTGGCAGGCCTTGTCCTTTGGCATCTTTCACATCCTCTACCTTATCTGAATGAGACCCTGAAAGCAGAAAGTCCAAAAGCATAAATACTATTACTAACAAGTTAACAAATTTTGGAAAAGGAAGCTTAAGATGTTGTACCTTGAGTGCCGGTCTTGTTTTCTCCAGATTTCTAATCCAAATAAGATTTTATTTAATCAGTTCAAAGCAATTATCTTCACGCTCAATTCTAATGCAAGCAAAAGTAAAAAGGAAAAAGACTAGAGTTCCAAAATAAGCAAGCAACAGAAAGCAAACAATTTGGCAGTGAGAGCTACAAATAGTGTCCTATGTCTTCTTAAGTCAGCTAGTCAATCCACACTATATAACCCTCAACTAATGCTATTTTACTGTAAATTTAGACCCTCCTTTTCGTTCTTTCTTTTCCTTTACAACCACCTACTCCCCCTCATTTAAATGACTCTTATCATTATAAGATGATTAACTAGTTATTAACTAGTTATTCACTTATCTTTTCAATTGACCTTCTCTAAATCCTCAATCTGTATTTACAGTCCTCCCAGAAACTTTTTCAACTTACACACCCCCACCTGAGAAGAGTGAGCTTTTTCTGCAAAAGAAAGTAGTCTATCAAGGCACCCATATTTTTAATTTCATTTGCCTCCTATCTTTATAATCTTTTAGGAAGTCAATTTGAGTATCTTTTTTCAAAAATTTTTTTAAAAAAAAGTATAGTTGATATCATTAATCTTCTATTAGGCATATCGTTGGTAGGAAGGGTTATCTGTAGTGGCATGACATGGCGTGACATCTATGGAAAGTCAACATAATTTTAGAACATGTAGGGAGGAGGTCTTTGTAATATGATAAACCTCGAGTTCATTGAAATTTACAAACAATTTATTCAGACCATTTGATGAGTGATAAAGGCTTTTGTCATTGTCCATATATGTAATAGAGATATCCTCATTCAGGCCAAAATAACACAATACAAAAAAAAAAAAGGCAAAATGCCATGACCAAGCCACTTTGATATTATTCAACACAATCTTTCAAGAAATGATTCTTTCAGGATACTAAACCACACTGTTAAAGTGCAGAAAACATATATGAGCGTTCCAAGTTATTATAGCCATTAACCAGCACCAAGTGCGCTTCTTACTAATATAAGGGATGCACAATATCCCCCATGATTTACATGCTTATATTTTCTGTGGAGGAGGTGTTTTGCCTGCCCTCAGAAAGAGAGGATAACAATCAGAAATACAGAAGCATTGAAGCCCATAGAAGAAATCCCGAAGCCATACTCTACGTGTTTGACTGAGAAAATACCATAAAACAACTAATATTGTCCCTTTCAATTTTCATGTGCAAGAATTCATTCATGCATCAATGATCATTCCTTTTTAGCATCTCACATTTTCTTCCAACACACCCTTTGCTATGCTAACATCTCACTTGTAAGATGCAAACCAATTTCAGGTGATTGCATGGTAGATTATTCCTTCGAGCACTTAACCATTAAATGGTGCATCAGGACTTATTAGGGATTTAACAGCCCACTTCTTCTTGCCAGAACAAGAAAAAGGGTACCTAAAATGACAAGATATAGGCACTTTGACGCATTGTTTCCTACAAAACTACCTGAAAGGAAAAAGGTTCCCAAAAAACTAAGATTCGTGAAAATTAACATATTTAACCACTGCTTATAACTTCTCTATCTGTTTTTGTCTAGCCATATTTTACAGTGACAAATTTTGCCACTCCTTTGACATCCATCTTTTTCTATAGAAGGCTGAGATAAACAACCTTGCTGCAATGAAGATTAAAGAGATGAATACTCTAAAAAAAAGTTTGCACAAGCACGAAATGTAGATTAGAAGAAAAAAAAACTATAGATATAAAGAGGAAAGTGTCAAGAGAAATCAAAAGGGAAATAGATGATTCACCATACATGAATATGACGCGACTTAACTGGAACAAACTTTTTGCACAGAGGCTGTGCCACTTATAGCCCTCAAGCTGTAATTTGTACATATAGCAGGAGGAAAAATAAATGAAGGGAAAACCAGATTGGGGTTCAAACTGCAGGTGACTTGAATGAAGGAGCGTGAAAACAGAAAAAGAATTCCAGTATATTTAAAAGGAAGGTAACTTAAAAGACCTCAGCTTATAAACTATGTTTGCCTGATTACTTACACTTCAAGCTTTAGGGCTAACAAAACTGGGTCAAAATAATACCTCAGTAGAATCCAAACAAAGTCAAGGCAAGCATGTGTATAAAGTTCCTCAAATTTCAAAATCAGTTATGAGTTCAGCAACAATACAACCTTCCATGGCACAAGGATAGAGTTTTCTAGAACATGCATGTCATTTTCTTTGCATGGGACATAGTTTTCCAAAGGGCTTGAGCATTTAGAACCTTTTGAAACCTAGAGTGATTGTTATCAATGGCATCCATAGTCAAAACGAATAACCCAGGAGATTTTCCAAGGGAAAAGTAGGATTCAGAAAGCAGGCAATCTTGTAAATTTGGTGCCCTTAAGCAGCAGGTGAGGCAAGCAACTTAACTTGTGCCTATCTACGTAAAGTTGTTGATTTCAACAAAAATAATCCAACACTGTCAGATGGGGACTTCTGTAATAGCACATTTTTCTCTTTTATTTTCACAGTACTGTCGACTTTGATCACCACTGGTAACCATGCATTATCAACTAGTACCAATAAGCTACTAGTTTGCCATTATACTTTCATATCCATTTAAGGTTAATGTTATATTTGGTATTCAATATACAAAGAATTTCTTAGCATCTTCTTGTTGCAATCTAGTTGTTAGAATTTGGTCCCATATTTTCCAGCAATAGCTTGCAATTTAAATATTATTCTTTTCATTTTCCTTTCCTTTTTTGTTTTGCGCCAGGAAGGGGGGGAGGGGGTTTCCTATAAATATGTCATTCCTCTTCCTTCTTGCTAACAAAACTAGTGCCGCCATCCTTTGCCCTTTTCCACCTCTGGCACGTTGGGTAATTAGTTGCCCATGAACTGGCTCAGACTTTTGCACCCATATCCTTTCCACGTAAAAAATTAACAGATGATGACCAAGAGTGGTCCACAATTTACCTCCCAGCAATGGCTCCACCACATTTTAGACAAATTGAAGCCAAATTTGAAGAACTCAAAATCCACAGTCGATTTCCATGGATAACAACCACAAATACACAAATCTAGACATAAAAGCAAAAAACTCGGACTGAACCCCCATCTACGTATTGGAACCCCAAATGGCAAGTTTTAGATACCAATATATTCCTTCAGATGTGTGGATAGTAGACTTAAAAATATCACTTCAAACATATCTAACAAAGAACCACCACCATTTCCTCCACCATCACACGCCTCCACACCTCATGGCTGCCGCTGCAACTAGGACGATTCAACTATTTGGTGGAAAGAGAATGAGAGATTCAAGGGCTGGGGAAAATTAACGATAATAATTCTGCAAAAAGAAGAGGGGGGGGGGACCAACAAGAAGAAACTACTTCCTAATTAAATTGACAGAGACTATATAAAGATAAACTATACAAAAAATCTGCATGGATTAGAACATCTGAAGAAGAATTATACAACTGCGTCTATGGGAAAGGGGAAGAGAAGACAATAGAAGTGGAGAATCGACAGCTTTGATGGTGCAGAAAAATGTTCACTAAGCATTAACGAGGAGAGTACAAATTCATCAAGAATAATAACATCTAGGATTCCGAAATCACAAGAGAAATAAAATTGAAATCTAAGTCATTAAATGAAGGAAGCTACTGCTGCAGAATACCCTAAATGAACTAGTTGCCTATGCATACCCCCGCCATTAAAATAAAAATCATTCAAAAATACTGCAACACTAGAGCTAAATCTAACCCCTAAATAGAACTTCCGAATATTAAAGAAAATCCTAAGCAATTGATTATCGAAAAATATCAAGGATTTCAGATGCTCCTGCATGAGCTGACAATAGAGGGGACTGGACATATAACAGATGAACGAGAAGTTAAGGTTGTTCACTTCATGAGTGAATATGCCAATATTATTTACTATCCCAGTCACGAGTCCTCCCAGGACACATATTCCTTTACCTCAACCCCAAAGTGAATTATATTAACCCCAACACAACATTAAATCTTTACAGGATAGATATTCCCCAATCAGTCATCCCATGTGAAAACAACCAACTAAATAAGGGACAAAATACAATTACTAATTCAATCCCATCTCATCCCATGAACCAAATAAGCCTCATTGTTGTCATGCTCTAGTAACTGTCTCTCAAGTCCAACTAAGCCTAACAGGAAAAACATAAACCAGCCAAACAACCAACTTCATACTATAAGACAGTAAGATCAGCCAAAAGAACAAAAGCATAAAAAATCAGAAACTTTACAAAATTATCTCCAGATATTGAACAATAAAACTGTAAAAAATTACTTCAAGCAAGAGCAAGAAAACCAGACCTGTTTTCTGAGGGTTTGCAGCTGCTCTCTCTCAAAGAAAGTCTTTTTGTGAGCCAGCCACTGGTCTCGCCAAGCATCCAATGAAGGGAGACATTCAGATAGATCAGGAACATACAGTACAGTGACCTCTTTATGACTGAAAATCCCATCCTTTCCTACCCTGTCATAGTGTATCTGCAAAGTCATGGAAATTCAGCTCCTATATAAGCTGCAGAGCAGAGAAAGGTAGAAACAGAAAATGATGTCTGAACAAGACATGAAAATACCAATAGTCTTTATCATGGAAAAATGCAACAAAGAAAGCAAGGTGCTCAAGTAAGCTGAAAGAAATTGATTCCATTACAATGTCTTAAGGTCAAAAACCATGTCAAGTGCTCAAATATATCACTATACAAAACCCCAAACAAATGCACATGAAGCAAAAATAGCAAACAAGTGACATGGATTTAAAAAAAAGTTAATGTTAATATCAACGCCAAGATAAGATGTGAAAATTATCAGCAGAAAACATTCAAGGGGCCATTTGGTAGAAGTTCGTATTTTGCTGTTCCTGTTCTTTGCTATGGAAGAAACAGAACACTTGTTTTGTCTATAAAGAAAAAAAACCATAAATATATTTGGTTTGTAAACCATTTAAAAACCTAAATGTGCATGGTTTTTCAAAAAAAAAATTAAAGTTAACCCAATCTTGGCTAGAAACCCATTTTGAAAAATGGGCCAACATGAGCCACGTGTAATATTTGGACGGCTCGAGTTTGCACCAGTGAGAGATTTTTCCTTTGTGTTGGGCTTGGGCTGGTCGAGCACCAACTAAATAAGCCCAAATGATTGGATTAACGGTGCCAAAATGGGTTCAGGCCAGGCCAAACTAGGAAGAACGGTGTGGGGAGGAACAAGAAAAGGTAGGGAGGGATAATGGATGGTGATTGAATGAAGATGAAATAAAACAATTTACAACCTTGATTTATTTGTTGTCTATTTCGGGCATCTTCTAAACAGGTAACAACAACATTTTTGGCATTTCAAGAACAGAGGCTCATTTTCATAAACATCTGTTTTTTGGTAATAACACGAAAAATTTCAGCAAACACTGTTTTTTGTTTGTTTGTTAAATTTTACAAATAAAAACAGAAAAAAATAAAACATAAACATTACCAAATGGCCCCTTAAAGATTGAATCAATAATTTTTGAAACACAGAAACTTTCCGATTAGTATTACTGATTACAAAGTGAATCATGAACTTCAGCAGTTCTTTCAATAATACAAAATCCAAACCACAATGGTAGAATAAAACTTTAGAGGATTTTGGAACTGACAATGGTAACCTTTGCAGGAAACCAAAAGCTTTACTGACAAAAGGGAAAAACAGCTTACTAAATAACTTCCTTGGGGCCCAGAGAATAAAGTATAAACACACCAAATATAAAGGGAACCACAATGAAGACAACATCAACAAGCCAGATGAGCAAAATCTAAAATGCCTATGGTTTCCCTGCAAGTTTTAACCCTAAAAGGAACTTATGGGCACATCAGAAACCTCCTCAAATAAATCAATATACTTTAGAGAAAAAAAAATCAGGTGAGGAAAGGAAAAGACGTGTACCTCAAGAAAACGATTCCAGCTCTTGCAATTTTTCAAGTCAAGATGAGCCACATCCTTTGCATATCTAGGAGCCAGTTTTGCATTAGTGTAAACAAGATATGTAACAGAATCTTATAACCAAAGAAATTTATATTGAAAAAGCATACCTAAGAACTGTTCGAACCAAAGAAGAGTCATCAACAGATGGATCTCCGCCATCAGTAGAATCCCAGCGGCCTCCAATTGCCATCAAAGAGTTATCCCTTCTAAGAACAGCAAATCTGAGCATATTGCAGAAATGTGGTATGCGATCTTCATAGCTTCTTCCAGATGAGAGCTCTTCTAAAGCATTTTGGCTTAGACCGCTCATCAAAATCATCTAAAACAGAGAAAAGAAACTACACGTGATGCGTATAATGTACATATTAGAAGTTATTTCAAGGAAAAGATCATATCAGATTCCATTAAATCCTCAAAAATCTTAAACATAATGGAGAGTATTGAGTAGATCGTGCAAAGCCACCTGGACCTCGACTTGTCAAATGCTCACCAGGATTAACTTTAATTAAGCTCGAGTTAAAACAGCTCAAACAGCAATTACAGCTGAATTTGATGCCAAAAATAATATTATCAAGTGCTCGCTAAGCAATCATGTCCATCATTTTTTATGACATACTTATACAACAAAAAAATATCTGCTCTCCACTAATTAAAATGTGTCACCTCAATCCAAGTTTCATGTAAAGTGGCACAAGCCATCCCAAGACACGGCTGTTGAAAACAGGTAAACTTTGTACTTTCAAAATCATTCTTACAAACCTTGAAAGGAAGGGAATGAAATTCACATTACAACATGGGGAGAAAAAAATAAATAATAAATAAAGGGACAAAGCTAACTGTAATTCCATGTTAGTAATAGTCTGCATGTATTCTTCTGGTTAGTTTTTATTAATTCTCATTCTTCTGGTTAGTTTTTATTAATTCTCGTTATGAAAAATTGATTTCATAGTTTATTGCTGTCTTTGAAATCTACGTCAGCTAAAATCTTTTCAACAGAAATTTCCTTTTATGGGATAAATTAGATAGCTTCGATAAATGAGACTACCAAGTTGGTCTTCAGTACTACACTAAACTAATTAACTCAAAACTAATCTCATCTTAGAGTGTCTACCATTAAAAATTGATTGGGCTCAAGCTCGAAGCAATTTGAGCCAATCAAGACCTAAAGTGACGTTTGAACTTGAGGTTGCCTGATGCACCATTAAGTTAAAGAAAGCAAGCAACAACATAAAAACTGACCTTGGAATTCCACACCGTACTTCCGTGCTCTGATTTTGACAGATCACAAGTAGGCAGTCCAGAAAGCAATACCTTGCGTTCAACCGCAGCATCATCTTCAACAAAGTCATGCTCAAAGCTGTTCAAGTAACAGTGATACAAGTTAACCAACAAATTAGTAGTTTAATGAAAAAAAACTATTCAATTAGCTAGCTAAACTTGGCATGGCATAGAGTTCCAGAAACAAAAGTTTTAAGCCAAAAGACAAAAACAACACTAGTTGGCCAGCTAAACTTGATTGAAAACTTAGTAGTCACAGTCAGATGCAGTGATTTCATTATTTTCAAGAAAACCATACTCCTCCCTAAATTGAGAAACAAGAAAATAAACAAAGACATCCAGTTCCCAACCAATATATCAAGATATGATACAGTAGAAAAATGTTGTTAATTTTGAGAGAGAAAGAAATGTGTAATTAAGCAGGGTACCTGACAGGAGTGTACAAAGAAAGCTTCACATTCACCTTTGGCCAATTAACAACCACCTACAGCCAATAAAAGCATGAATTATAACATATAATGCTGAAGTTATCTATTAGTCCTCCAAGATGAGATGGGAAGACCTTTGAACATTCTGGTGATACAAAAAGCCGGGGGTATCGTTTAGCCAGTGACAAATAATCCCTCTCTACTTCTACCAACCTAGAAGAATAAACCTACAAAGACAATATAAATGTATCAAGTTACAGCATCAATAAACACAAAATTCACATATCTAATAATTAACATCAAAAATAAAATTAGAGAGAAATTAATAATTCTTCTACAGATGACGTCACTTCAATTTTAAAGAGGAATTATCCAATGACAAATAACTAATCTTAAATTCATGGCAGCCACCTTGTCTAACTCCCCAAGAAATGCCCCAGGGAAAAAAGCAAGCAAAGCTTATAGTTCATCCTATAGCTTCCCTAAGAGCAAATCATATAAATGATGAATAAAATATCTATGAGAAATACTGAACTATGTGCGAAAAAAAGCCTTGCAAGGCAGAGACTGAGAAAGGATGTCCACAATATAAAAGGAAAAAGTGTAAGGAGCCTGAACAAGCACAGTACCAGAACATGAGAAATTTGAAAAAGGGGATGTGCTGCAGAAAGCCTGGGCAAACAGGAAGCAGGCAGGATATCCACAATAGAAAAGGAGAAAGTAATGTAGCCAGAACAAGCACAGCACAAAAATACAAGAAGTTTGCCAAAGTGAACAAGCAGAGCAGAAGGAAGGTAACGGTGAACAACCAGTTTCCTAATTGAGTTAAGGTAGTGAATTTGAGAAAGCTGTGCCTTCAAGATTCTTAGCCCTGGATAACAGGAAGGAGATCCCTCTTAAAGAAAGAAGTCCTGACAATCATTCTTCTGCCAAGCTCGTGTAGCCATTTTACCTTGCAAACGTAATCTCTCCTTTTCTCTTTAGGAGGTGAATGACGCCTTCAGCATGATAGAACACCAAGTTAGTTGGCTGCAAGATACACTAGCAGCTAAAGACACATAACTATAGTAGAAGACAAAAAACAAGATCCACCTATGCAGAGCTTCATGACGTGGAGATTCTTGTCGTGAAGGTCTACCATCTTTTGTCAAGGATGTACCTCGACGCTCCTTTGAGAGTCTCGCAGGAGTTCGCTCACGTTTAACTGTTATTTCATGTTTGCGATGTTGTTCTCGTTCTCTTTCCTTCTCCCTACGCTCAATAAAAAGCTGCCTTTCACGCTCCCTATCCCGCTCCCGTTTCCTTTCTCGTTCCCGTTCTCGATCACGCTCTTGCTCTCGCTCTCGTTGCCATTCTTGTTCCCATTCTTTTTCCCTTTCTCTATCTTTCTCTCGCTCACGTGAATAATCCCTATGATGTTCTTTGCCCCTTCGTTCAAGCTCCCTTTGATATGCAACCCTATCATCTTTATGATCATTAATCATTGGATGAGCACCACGCAACAACATAGTATTTGGATAATCCGAATCTATGGACATGCCTTGAAGCCGCTTCCCTGTTCCATAATCCCTTCCAGGAGGCAGGCTTACTCCATAGCCAGGATCTAAAGAACCCTGAACAAACTTGAGATCATCCACATTTCTGTGAGGTCCTGCTCCTAAGATTGATGAAGAATGATTTTTTCCGTAGGATGAACCACTTAACATTGATAAACTGTGAGGATCAGGATCCATTCTCCCACCATAAGCAATAGGATCTTGAATTGGATAATGATCCTCAGCTGAACGATGAAGAGTGTTGCCCCTTGCAGCAAGGAAATCAGCTTGTCTGCCAGAAATTTGTTTCTACTCAGTGCAGTCGGATATTGTGTCATCTAAGGAAGCAGCACGTGGATGCATTGTGCAGACGTATTATGCGATTAAAGATAACTTTTCTCATTGCATATACATTAACAAAGAAAAATCAGAATGGCATTTCAGACGCCAACAAATATCCACTACTCCCATCAACAGCAACTATATATCATTGCCGAACCAGTTATACTTGACACCAAAGATAACATACCTAGAATTTCCACCAAGGGAAGTAGATGTTAGTGACTGGGTTTTCAGCACTGATTCTTGCCTTAGCATTGATTGTTGTTCCGTGCGTTCATATATCTCAGGCTGTACAGAACCAAAGTTAATGTACAGCATGTACTAATCTATATAAACAAAAGAGATACTATGCATAATGCAATTCCTCAGTCCACACATGAATGTCAAACAATCTCCATGAAAGAGTTGATGTGTTTAGCATTGAAGGGTAGCATTTATCCAAGGATTACAAAGATTTCAAAGTTCATATGGACCAATGCTCAAGATGATAGCTCAAGAAGTGCGAAAATTTGAAATTTTGAACCAAAAGTGAAAAGCATTCCTTAATTAAACACAACTGACTATTTCGAGATGATTCATCACACTTTTGGTGTAAAAGAGGAAGGCTTAGGAGACACTTTCAAGTCCCTAGGAGATAATTATAGCATTCCCTAGGAGACACTTTCTTTTGGTGTAAAAGAGGAAAGCTTTCAAGTCCGTGTCAGAAGGCAAGTTACATTTATTGCCACAAAATATGCTGTGAGGAAAATTCAGTAATACACTTTAACAGAAGGTATGTTATGTTTATAAAGCACCTAGAGGTGCAACTCAAGTTACATATGCATTCATGTTAGTACACTGTGCCGTGTTTATCAGATAACTGTGCAAAAGATCAACTGTCAGTAGAAAAACTGTACTCAATCAGTAGGGTAGCAACATGCTACTTCAAAAAAATAAACGACCTATAAAGGACAATTGCCACAAAATGTACCATGCAACAAAATCCATTTACTATCTCAATACATAAAAAGGTAATAAGAAAAACATAAGGTAACTAAAAGCATTACTGGCTACCTGATGCTTATGAACAAAGGCAACTGATTCAGCATATCTAGAAGCAGGTTCACTCGGCAATTCCCTTCCTATATAAATGCTATGCCGATCACCATATTGGTGCCTATCCCCAGGTGTGTAATCAGAAACTCTATCTGAATACAACTGATCAACTTTATGGCCAAATGCATGGCCAGATGAAGACACATAGTCACCAGAAGTGAATTTAGGTGAGTCTGCCATAGATGAGTTAAAACCCCTACGACCTTCCAATAGAGATGGAAGGGATCCTTTAGCACTGATCTTGGGGGCCTGCAAAATAAATATCAAGAACCATAATGAACTACAGGTAGTTTTGTTTTTCAAGAAAGCACAAGTTGCCAAATACAGAAATTTTGGCATCTAACCACAGAATGAACAGAGCTCAGAACACTGGTAACAATAAAGTTGTCATTATTAAGTAGTTGAGAATACAGATATTCCTCATAGTGCCATACTTTATTTCTTTTTTCATATCTTTTTTCATTTTCCTTTTTGCAATTCTCCTCCCTCCCACCAATTCCTCATAGTGCTATACTTTATTTTCAGAACCCACACAATCCACCCCCTTTGAAATCCAGCATTCTTGCTTACCACAGCTAAGACAGAAAAGCCAATTAAAACTATAGATCGCCCACTCAACCCGTTTCCTTGTTGGGAAGGAGAAGAGGCACAGTCCTGTAGGGAGACCAACAACCAGATTAGTAAGGTGTATCGGGCCTTTAGTAGATTGAAGGTGGAGGATCAGTTTTTGCCAAGGTAGATGCAGGATAGTTTGGGGAATATGCAGAAGAAAGCAGCAATAAAGTTATTGGGAATAATGTCAAATACATGCACACAGGATATGGGGTCTGGACAGGTGAAGTTGCTAATTTATTAGAGAAAACAGAAGGTGCTGCAGTAAGTTAGATGAAATTTAGATGCCGGATGGGGTTGTTAGGAGAGTTTCTTTAGCTGGAAAATGAACAAAAAAAGGCCAACTCTATTTATTCTTATTTACAACATTTTTGAAAACCAACATATGTCTCCCTCAGCTTACCCATAAAGCATTTACCCAACAACTAAAATTATCTTGAGTCCAACATTGTATCTGTTTTGAAAGTTCGGTGGCTGATTTGAAACCTTACATAGTTTAGTAGTCAAAAATACAAGCAAGCAATACCCTTTTATATTTCTTTCCCTTATTCAAAATAAAAGAATGCCTAAGCCAAAGATGAAAGAAAATTGTGCCTTCCCAACACATCAGTGAAGATAATCAGTAAAAATCGAAGTTTTTTAGCTTGCAAATTTATTGTCTTCGAATACATCTCCTAGCAAAGCTTCAATTTTTCCAGCTTTCCAATGCTATCCAAACTTCATCAATAATACAAGTCTGATCCTATGCAAGCATAAAGCCTTAAGATGAAATCTAAATTGAATCAAACAGGCCACTGTCACTACAAGTAACTTGTACTTCAGAAAGATTTTCTTACATGATCATTATGGAATCTTTGCTATAACATTGGATTATATTTAGGCACCCTTGAGAGGCCAGCAGTTAGCAACAGATAGAAGCAACACTAAGGTGCAAAAGCTATTAAAGCAGGAGTAACCTAGTCAAGATTCAACTGAAGCTAGCTATCCATATTTGGGGACAGTTCCTTATCCTCCTTTCAGCACCTAGCTACACAAGGAGTGAAACTTAAAACTCTTTTAGCTATTGTTCAGTGTTAAGACACTATTGATGTCCTGGATATTTATCAAAATTGCTAAAAATTATGTTTAATTAGAACACATAGCCAGGGCCCAAATAGGCAATAGATTTATCTGTAAGTAGACTGTTTGGCGCACTTATAACACCTGAAGTTTCAGAAAATCATGGGCTAATTTCAGAAACCTCCCTCAAGATTTATGATAATTTCACTCAGCATCCGTCTAAATTCAAATATTACAGTGACCTCCCTTCATGGCTCAAAATGACTAATGACCTTCCCAAAAGAATTAGAATCATCGTGTGCAAAAAATGTGGCCACAGTTTTCTTTAAAAAGGAAACCCATTTAAAAAAAAAAAAAGCAGCAGAAATGTCAAATGTCTATCCAAACTTAAATAACTTACCAACAAGTATCTCCCTGCCATTAAATAGCCCTATTACCATCAATGTTACTTCTTCCCCACAACTTCAACTCATCTTTTTTGCCTGTCTCCAATCCTTCCCCATATTCCTAACCTCCATATCTCACAAATTCCAATATCAATCATGCTTCTTAATCCACCCATCTTTCATTCTTTTCATTCATCCTACTGTTTTCCCCCACCAAAGTTTAATAAATAATTACAAACATAAATATACGATAGTAAACGTGCCAAAGGAATATGGAGAATGCGATTAAGGCTTAGACAAGGCAGAACGTTTGAGATGAGGAGAAAAAATATATATTCATTGAATAGTTTTGTTTAAAACACTAAAAAAAAATCCTTAAGGGCAATTTCAGATATGAATATGGTTTTTTCTGGTCAAATCAGCCAAATGAAACACAAAGCTACTATTCAGGGGAGGTGAGTATAATTTTTGAAACATGGTCAGAGCTAGCTGTCATTGTCGTAAACCTCAAGAGAGGTTTCTGAAATTATCCCTTAAACTATTCCTGTGACTGGCTACTAAGTCCTGTGGGTCAGTGAAATGGAATGGATTCATGAGCATTTCAGACTTGCATATTAGGTATTCAACTTTTTGTTTATATCTTTAAATGTACTTTGGTATTCCATCGCCCCACATCTTTTACTGGCAAACTGTTTCTTCCTTTTGGTGCCAGAATTCAGTTGCTGTAAGTAATTTAATTCAAAGGTCAAACTATGAAGCGGATGAACAACTATGGTCCATAAACCAATATCCATTTGAACTACAAACCAAATAGATTAGGGAACACAATAAACTCATCTCCATATCAGGGTCTACAATTCCGGTTCCATCCTCATAGGCAATTTCAGATATGAATATGGTTTTTTCTGGTCACATCAGCCAAATGAAACACAAAGCTACTATTCAGGGGAGGTGAGTATAATTTTTGAAACATGGTCAGAGCTAGCTGTCATTGTCGTAAACCTCAAGAGAGGTTTCTGAAATTATCCCTTAAACTATTCCTGTGACTGGCTACTAAGTCCTGTGGGTCAGTGAAATGGAATGGATTCATGAGCATTTCAGACTTGCATATTAGGCGTTCAACTTTTTGTTTATATCTTTAAACGTACTTTGGTATTCCATCATCCCACATCTTTTACTGAAAAACTGTTTCTTCTTCTTTGATGCCAGAATTCAGTTGCCGTAAGTAATTTAATTCAAACATCACACTATGAAGCGGATGAACAACTATGATCTATAAACCAATATCCATTTGAACTGTAGACCAAGTCGATTAGGGAACACAATAAACTCATCTTCATATCAGGGTCTATAATTCCAGTTCCAAATATGGGCACAAATCAAATGCATTATGAATACCCATTATATCAATTAAATCACTATTCGCACCTTCTACAACTTCTTATTCCACTATAATGCTATAACACTTTAATGTCAAAGTTCACTCACAAAGTCTATGTAAAAAGCATAACAAAACATGTTTCCTTTTTTTCCTCACAAAATACTGGAAACAAGTACAGCAACAGTTCAATCTTCGTCAACCCAAACACCTTCTAAGAAAAACAACTATTGCTTTCTTAAAATCATGGAAAGCCTACTAAAGTAAAAGAAATAGTAAAAACTACAAAAGTTTAACCTGTTGATCTGCCGAACTATATACAGAACTATACTGCCTTGCACCATAATTTTGTGGCCCAGCAGAGAGATGAGAATGTCCTCTATATCCACCCATATCTCCTTCCTGTGGACCTCCTAACATAGATGAATGCCGTGAAACCACAGATGGCTGCAACATTCCTTCAGGCCTTCCACCAGGAGGCCCATGGTAACCAGGCCCCAACTAAATCACAAAGAAATGAAATTCATACACAAACATCCCATCAAATCCTGCATAAAGTGCAATCTTTGAAGCACGACAGGTGAAATCAAGGGAAAATGAAATTATAATAAAGTCCTTGCTTTCGAGGAAATGTTAGTCCACTCATTTATTTGTTAATGGCACTCCCTTTGACATTCTGGCCTGAGCTAGACCAAATACCCCTATGCTCCAGGGAATTTACAACCACACCTTTGAATGAAGTTTGTAATCAAAACGAATAGTAATGCCATTTTATCCTTTCACATGAGTGAAAGAGTCAAGTGGACTGCCATCAATAAATAAAGCTGATACAGCTGCAAATCATTATGAAGGGCACGAATTGTCAAAATGGACAAGTTCATGTGCAAGAACTTACTAATTCATGTACATAAACATAACAGATTCTAAAACAGAATCTATTTCCACCATATACAATGAAGGCCACTAATAAAACATACAAGAATTACGCACTCTTTATTAAACTGCTCACCAAGCAAGGCACTTTAAAACATTTTACCCTAAATAAAAATGGAAAGACACAACCAAACAATTATAGAAGAGAAGAAAAACACACATTTTGGGTATAGGCGGATTGAGAAGGGTAGGGTTGCTGCTGCTGCTGCGGCTGCTGTTGACCATATGAATTATTCCCACGAGATGAATACATTTTTCACCTCACAATATACTGCAATCAATGATTACAATTATCACAATCAAAACTTGCACAAAATTCAAATAAAGTAACGCTTAAAAATCTCTTATCAACGAAATTCCAAAATTGAAATTGAAAATTTTTAAAAAAATGGCAAAATCAGAAACCTAGCGTCACGCAAGTCGCTTGCCTACATACGTTATATATACGTATAAATCTACATAGAGAGAGGGGAAAAGCTTACGATTGTCCGCGAGGAGGTTCAGAGAGGCAACTGGTAGACTTTATCGATGGTGCCCCTTTATGAGGGTTATTAACTTATTATGATAATAGGGCTTAAAGGGGTTAGAAATGGTTTGCACATGACGCAAAAAGATTGACTTTTTCTTTTTCTATTTTTCTGATAAGAAACCACAGAGGATTTCAACTGGGCGAGTAGGGTAAAATGACTACAACAGTCCCCCGGTTTCACAAAAATTACCTTTTTTTTTTCCTGATGAAGATTTCAATGTTCAAATGAGCAGGCAACGAAAATACCACCATAATCTGTAGGCTTCCACCAAAATTATATTATGGTCCCCATATGTTTAAAAAATATCAAGTAAGCCATTAAATATTCATCCAATTTGTTCTAATGTAACTTATGCATTGTTCTTACGATTTAACTTTGTCCTAAATTTGTGTTACATACCAAAAATATTAAGAAAAATTCTGTTCATCTTCCAAGTTTGACCTAATCAGTGGAAAAGAATAAAATCATATTTTTGGGGCCTGGCTATGTGAAATCTATGTATTTGCTAGTGCATGATTATTTGCCCATTTTTAGATGTTTGGAGTAGTAGAACTACACATGTTAACCTTCTTAGAAATTCTTTAGTAGAGATGGAAAGTTTTGTCTTATGTGATAGGCAAATCAGTAATAAGTGACAAGATAAAAGTGTGAACAAGGAAGAATGAACAAGCATGGTTCAAATTGAAATCATGTTATTGATTGTAAGTCGCAAGTAGTTACTGAGGATAACCGTCTTTCATCTTCAAATTGAACCTCATGCTTTTGTGGTTGTGTGACAACCCCACTTTCCCCTAGGGACGTACCTTTGGATTTAGCAGACCGTCTGCCTAACTCTCGCCCGGATTCACTCACAACTCTTAGAAACACAAATCATAACTTCAAGAGAAAGAGAAACAACAACAATTAAACTTAACATATATACATTTGATTACTGCGAATATCCATACAGACCCAAAATTAACAAAGGATTCAATCTCAAACTGAGACACTAACTCTAGAAGAACACTAGTATTACTACAAAAGTCAAGGGGTCTAGACAAAATCTCTGCCTTCTCTCAATCACACGCCCTTACTCTCGCGCCCCCTATAAGGAAAACAAACTAATGGGGTGAGGCAAAATTCAGTGAGATTCCAAAAAACATGTAAACAAAGTAGCAATCTCAAAGCAAGTAAGAAAATAGTAATTAGGCAAATCAATAGCAAGCAAGCAAGGGACAATTAGCACTTTCAAGTGGAAGGATATAGTTTCTCTCGCATTGGCCGCTTGTCTTGCAACCGCTGACACTCCGTCAACTTTGAAATACAATATCAAGATCCAGTAGAACACTACTTCACACCAATCTCCATCCACCGATCATCCCCCTTTACAAGGCCCGCACACCAAACAAGTAATAAGTGGGGTAATACTCGAGTATACCAGAGCGAGTAGTAAGATACAGGATCCATGGTTCATCGGTCACTTCGACCAAGTCCTTACTGGTTCAATTTGACCAACTAACCAATGGGGTTTTGTGAGGACCCGGATTTTTATTTTCTTACTTTTATATTATTTTAAGGACTTAATTAATTATTTATTCACCCGTTTACTCTGAATAATTTATTTCATTCATTTTAAAACCCATTTGTATGCAAAAATGTCTCTTTTATATTTTTAAAACATTCCGTTTACGAATTTAATTTTTCTACGGCTCGTTTAGCGAGAAATAGCGAATACACGTTTTTCGAGACAATATTCGATTCGAGAGTGCAATAGTCTTGGAGATTTGAGAACTCATGTTTTGTTCTTAAAATAGTTATTTTTATAATTATTTACCCTAGAATTAGTTAATTATATCATCGTTACATGAATTTCTTTTAAATTCCGTTTTATCACGCGCGAATCGGAAGTTCGGGTTAAATCGAGCCGAAACGGCTAAGTGGAGATTTGAGAAACTTATACTAGACTACTAAGGGTGAATAATTATAGTGTTAAAGGAATTACATTGAAGATTTAGTGCACAAGTGAAACAAATTCGAGAGAAAACGGCGATACGAAACTCGCGCGCGCACTATTCCTAGTTGACTTTTGTAGGATTTTTTTGCCACAAATCCCTCAAGCTTCCAAGAGAAGCTTCACAACACCAACCACACTCTCTCTCCTCTCCATCTTGGTCGGCCAAACCCTCAAGGGAAGAAGGAAGAAAGCTCACCATTTTTACTCCAAATTCTTGCTACCATTTCACCTCAAATTTTTCTTGCAACTCGCATATCATGTGGCGACTCCACCTCCCCTTAGGGTGTACTCTAGGATTTAGCGAGTCGCCTGCCCAACTCTCGTCAAGACTCACTCACTCGTATTTCGAGATTGTAAGGATCGAAGACAACCTAAGAGGGGAGGTGAATTAGGTGGTTTGAAAAATTAGCCAAGATATGAGTCACTTTATGAGAACTTGCCCTCTTTTTCTAATGGACCACACAAAAGAGCAATTGATGAGAAAGCATAAGTGCTTGGGAGTAGAAGAGATAGACAATTTATATTGCAAGACAGTAAGTAAAAGGATAGAATAGCAAACCAAGTTTCAAACTCCACTTGAGTTTGAATACCACTTTATATAGCAAGTTTCTTCAAGTTGATCAACTTACAACCAATTTCTTGTGTACAAAGGAATGATCACTTCCTCCTCGCCCCAAGCCGCACTTGGTCAGGCAAGGAAGTTTTACTATCACTCGAATAACCCTCACAAAACTACACTATTGAAGAAATAGAAACACACTTGAAAAACTTATCGAAAGTTACACAACTAAGAGTACAAATCTTCTTTAAAGAGTATTCTCACACTTGAATCACTCAAGATCTGATGTAGTCTCAATGTGTAAAGTTCTTTTTAAGTGGTTGACTTTGTTCTATTTATAAGAGACCAAAAAATTTTTCAATTAATGCTACCAACGGACAGAAGGCAGCTGAAGAATCAACTAGCCGTTGGTGGTGTTGGACGTCCGGTAGGCTAGTTTTCTGCGTCCGAACGCAGGTAGAGAGTTCAAGAAGTTTTCTTGAAATGTTTAGGACGTCCGGTACCTCCAGAATATGCGTCCAAAGGTTTGATGCAAAACTGGGAATTCTCCTTCAATTCGTTCGGACGTCCGGTGCCTTCAATGTTTTGCGTCCAAAGTGTCGCAACATCTGTCGGACGTCCGGTACTCAGGTGTTGTACGTTTGATCGGGGTCAATGAGTTTAGAGGACTTGGCTTATAATTTTCAGACGTCCGAGAGTGGGTTCTTCATGCGTCCGAAGTTACTCAATGGTTGTCGGACGGCTGATGCAGTCTTTATGTGCGTCCGACAGCTATTTCAGCATATGTTAGCCTTTGAAGCTGTTTTGCTCCAATTCTGAAAAGATCTAATCAGAGAATATTAGTAACATCCATTTGTTTTGTAATCATCAAAAGTTACGGATTGAGATAAACAATCTTCCCCTTTTTGATGATGATAAAACAATGGATGGAATAAAAAGGTTTTAGGTACTGCTCCCCCTAACTTAATGCCTTCAAGGAGTATACACAACTTCCCTTCAGAATAATGTTCACTCCCCCTTAAAATGACTCCCCCTCACATATAGATTACATGTCATATCCATATCTCCCCCTTTTTGACATCATTGAATCAACCAGTAAAAATTATCCATATTTCCAATAATGTGGTCGTTTATTGGCTCACCAAATTGAATTTAGTAACACAGCAGAACAGCAACATCATCCATCCAGAACAAAAACCAAAGCATTATCAACCAGAAACTAATATTTGCAGATAAATTGAAATAAGCAACATTCAACATAAAGGATAACTAAATAGTTTTACAAACCAGTAGAAGAGTAAAATCCTTAACACAGAGCACACCAAATATTTTTAAGTGCAAAAGATGCAAAAACCTACTATGAACTATTATCCTAATCATGAAGTGCAGTAGCCTAGTAATGCTTATATGGTAATCTTAGAGGATCCAGACTTTCTTCTAGTCAAGCGAAACTGGGCAGGATCTTCTTCCTCAGTGTCCTCATCCTCATCATCATCATCCTCTTCAGTCTTTTCTTCAGTTGCCTGAGCTTTTCCCTTGTCCTGTGGTTGAGAACTGGAGGTACGGTATTCTGGGGTAGTCTGAGTGGTTGGCTCAGCTCTAAACTCCTTTCGGTGTGCATTTTCATTTTCTGAAAGAATGGGAGGTACAAGCAGATTCCTTTTGGCAACGAACGTGGCTTGTTGTTCAGAAGTCAAGGTCATCATCAAGCCATCTTCAAAAAGCAGGATATGTTGTTTGAGGTCATCAAGCAGAGATATGACCTCAAGGTTGGATGAAGTATGCATAGAGGCTGACCTTTCTAGGATGAATGGTGAAGGCTGTCACATACATAGACTGGTCTCGAGGAGTCCTAGGGGTTACAGGAGTTTCATGAAGATTTTTTCTCCTAAACTCAGAGACAGTTTCTTTGTAGCACCAATGACCCTCAAAAAATTTCATATTTTTCCTTTTAAAGTAAGCCTTTGAAAGCACAGTTGATGCACTCTCGTTTGGAGATTTGCCAGTAAAGGGAATTTCAAAATGAGTAAAAATAGGAGTCAAAAATTTTTCATAGGATAGTTTCCTACGGCTGTCAGTGCTGATTTTGAGCAGAAATTTGCACATGACAAAATCAAAATCAATTCGAATTTTTTCAAGAAAACAGTAGAACAGATAAAGTTTCATTTTGTTTGCATCAGTTCTGTGACCATCAATGGGCACCAACAGATTTAAAATTATAGTAAAAATGATCAGGTTTTGAGGACTAAGATCTTCCAATCTTGCCTCAGCAGGAGTATTAAAGTGAGACTGAAAATAGGTCATCAATTTTGCAATATGAAAGTAATGGTATGCAAAGGGAAATTCTTCATAAGAAAAGAAATTTACAATTTTGCCTTTAAAACATCTTCAATTTTGGTTTCCAAAATAGAGTTGACAATTTCAGGATTCAACTCTATGTTAACAGAATTGACACGTGAAATGAGATCAGTATGTGATTTACCCTTTCTAAGATTTGTAAAAAATTGATGAAGCATGTTAGGATAGTAGGTGTTTGGAATGGTCAAAAGATAGGTCCATTTTTGGAATTCAAAAAGGTTGAGAATAGATTTAAGATCAAGCTTACGGAATTTGTAGGGAATGATGGTCCTTTGAGTGATGAAGCCTTTCTGCGAGATCCATTCAAACCTCTCCCTGGCTTCATCATCGATGAACTTGGGCAGGAGAGTTGGTTCAACAGTAGTTTGGGTCTCTGGTTGATCATTTTCTGGATGCTTTCTTTTTTCACTGCGCTGAGTAGTTGGTGCAGTACCCTGGACACCAGACCTTGTCCTTGGTGACTTCCTGGTAGATAGTTCATCAATCTGCTGTTCCCCAACATTTTTCTCTGCATCCTGCTATTTCCCAGAGGGATCAGCAATTTGCCTTCCCTTGGGTTGAGCAATGCTCTTCCTTTTGGCAGTTCTTTTTCCTTTCCTGGGTGATTTCATGATGGTTACATCTATATTGGTAGGCTGCTCCAGTTCCTCTTCATTACCACTTACTGGATACCCTTCAAATTGATGCTCCTCCATCTGCTTATCGGATGGTTCAACAGATGGCTCTCTGATTTGCGTATTCTGCTTTTTCCTTGCAGATTGCTTCGTTTTTCCACCACGATTTCCAGTTTTCTTTTTGGGTGATTTGATGGAAGGTTCGATAACTTGAACATCTTCATCCTCCTCATCACGAAACTTGAAGGTGCGTCCAGCACTCACGGATCCTCCTCTAATCCTCACCATGATTGCAATGCAGTGTGATTTTGTTGTGTAATGTGATACAAATAAGTATCAAACGATGAGGAGTGCAGTATGAACTACAGTGGATGCACGAACTATCCACAGAGGGAGAAATTTTTGTGATTAGGGTTTCGGGTAAGAATTGGGATTTATAGTGCAGTTGACGGTTGGGGGAAGTTATGATACGCAATAAACTCGCAATAGGTATGTGAAGGTGTCGATCAGAGTGATTTCTTGGTACTTGTTTCAAGAAGAGATGAATTTGAATTTTGAAATTGAGGGAATATGAAGAGTTGCGTCCGAGACAAAAGGGTAAGAATGAACTGAATAACGTAGAGGGCTTTCTTATAAGACTCAATTTTGAGTGTCGGATGGCCGAACGAAATAGAGCGTCGGACACCTCTGTCCGAACCAAAATTTTCTGGGTAAATGATCAAAAACACTGTCGGACCTCCGTTCTAACATATCGGACGTCCGATAAAGAGTGACCAGAGAATTTTTAGAGTATTTTTTTCTAAAACGCCCAATTTTGTTCTCAAAAAATACAAATTGATCTAGTGGTAAGGCTTTTGTGAGAATATCAGTAATTTGATCTTTTGAACAGACATATTGAACACAAATTTCACCCTTATGGACAAGACCGCGAATGAAATGATACCTTATGTCTATGTGCTTTGTCCTAAAATGTTGGATGGGATTTTTTGTCAAATTTATTGCATTAGTGTTATCACAATACATAGACACACAATCATACATTAATCCAAAATCATTCAATATGTTTTTCATCCACAATAATTGAGCATAACAAGCTCCAGCGGCAACATATTCAGCTTCAGTTGTAGATAATGAAATAGTATTTTGTTTCTTAGTAAACCAGGATACTAAGCAATTTTCAAGAAAGTTACAAATACCTGTTGTACTTTTTCTATCAACCCTACAACCGTCGAAATCAGCATCAGAGAATCCACACAAAGGAAGTTCATGACACTTAGGATACCACAGACCAAAATTCAAGGTTCCTTTTAGATATCTAATAATTGTTTTTACTGCATTTAAATGAAATTCCTTTGGACAAGACTGAAAACGAGCACATAAGCACACAACAAACATGATATCTGGTCTACTAGCAGTTAAGTAAAGCAAACTACCAATCATACCTCTATAATTCTTTTCATCAACTTTTGTACCTTCTTCATCCTTGTCAAATTTGGTAGATGTGCACATAGGTGTTCTAACCTACTTTGAATCCTCCATTTCAAATCTTTTAAGCAGCTCCTTGGTGTATTTTGTTTGGTTGATGAACGTTCCATCTTGGGTTTGAACCTCTTGGAGTCCAAGAATAGAAATTTAATTCTCCCATCATGTTCATTTCAAACTCTTTTTGCATGATATTGAAAAAATCCTTTCACAAGCTTTCATTAGTAGCACCAAATATAATATCATCCACATATATTTGCACAATTAAAAGATCACGTGAAATTTACTTAGTGAAAAGAGTAGTATCCACAATATCTCTTTTAAAATTATTTTTAATCAAAAAATCATTCAAACGTTCATATCATGCTCTTGGAGCTTGTTTTAGTCCATACAAAGCTTTTGAGAGTTTAAATACATGATTTGAATAAATTTCATTTTCAAAACCAGGAGGTTGATCAACATATACTTCTTGATCAATAAATCCATTTAAGAAAGCACTTTTAACATCCATTTGAAATAATTTAAAGTTCTTGAAACATGCAAAGGCCAAAAATATTCTAATTGATTCCAGCCTAGTTACAGGTGCAAATGATTCATCAAAATTAATTCCTTCTTCTTGAGTATATCTCTTGGCTACAAGTCTGGTTTTATTTCTTACTACCTCACCTTTATCATTCATTTTGTTTCTAAAAATCCACTTTGTGCCAATGATAGAATGATCTTTTGGTCTAGCAAGTAATGTCCACACATTGTTCCTTTTAAATTGATTTAACTCCTCTTTCATAGCTAAAATCCAGTTCTCATCTTTCAAAGCATCAACAACATTTTTGGGTTCAAAGTGTGAAACTAATGCAAAATTATCCATTAGTTGTTTAGAGGAGTAACGAGTTCTGACCTTCTCGGATGGATCACCAATGATGAGCTCCTTAGGGTGGTTCTGAGCAAATTTTCAAGCTCTTGGAAGATCGTTAGGTGTACTAGTATCTCTGTCACTGTCTTCCCTTACTGGACTGTCTTGAGTTTCATCTTTCTTTGAATCATTTTCTGGTGAAGCAATGCCTTGGTCAGTGATTGTGAGTTTCTTTAGTTCTTCTTGAATACCTGCATCATCATCTTCACCATTACTTATGGAAATGTCACCATTAGATTCATCAAAAGTGATATGTATAGCTTCCTCTATAACCAAAGTCCTTCGATTGTAGACTCTAAAACCTCTCTTATTTTCACAATATCCCAAGAAAATTCCCTCATCAGATTTTTTATCAAACTTTTCGAGATGTTCCTTGATGTTTAAAATGAAGCATTTGCAACCAAAGAGTTTAAAGTATCCAACTACAGGCTTTTTATCAAACATCAACTCATAGGAGGTTTTGTTCAAGATTGGTTTTAAAAGAACTCTATTCATGGTATAGCAACCTGTATTTATAGTTTCAACCCAAAAGTATTTTGGTAAATTACACTCACTTAGCATGGTTCTAGCAGTCTCTTGAAGAGTTCTATTCTTTCTTTCAACAACCCCATTTTATTGGGGAACTCTTGCATTTGAAAATTCATGTGTAATACCATTGTTGTTACAAAATTCTGGAAAGCCATAAAAATGAAATTCTGAACCATTGCCACTTCTGATTTTGATGATTTTCAATTCAATCAAATTCTGAACTTTTGCAAATAGTGAAACAAAGTTTTTGAAAGCATCATCTTTGTGTGTAAGAAACATCACCAAAGTGTATCTAGATTAATCATCAACAGCAACAAAGTAAAATCTTTTGCCACCTAAGCTGGTAGTTTGTGTATGACCAAATAAATCAAGATGTAAAAGTTCTAGCACATTTCTTGGGTTTAAAAGACACTTTGACTTGTCTTCCAAATTGGCAAGCATCACAAATTTTGTCCTTTTCAAATTTGATCTTAGGCAGCCCTCTAACAAGTTCCTTTTTGGAAATTTCTTTTAGGAAATCCATATTGAAATGACAGAGCCTTCTATGCCACAGCCAGGGGTCCTCATTTGCTACTTTGAGACAACTAAGGCTAGAGGAATCAACTTTTTCAAGGATAACTACATAAATGTCATTAACTCTTTTTTCTTTGAAAACAGTGTTGAACTTTGAGTCAAGAACAAGGCATTCATGCTTTTTAAATAACACAAGCAGATTTCTATCACATAATTGACTAACACTTAACAAGTTATATCTCAAATTGTCAACTAAAAGAATATTGTGAACAAATGTTTGACCATTCTTACCAACATCACCAATTCCAACAGTTTTGGCTTTGTTATTATCTCCAAATTTACCTTTCCGCTTGCTTTTGGTTTGAATTTGATGAACTGTGATGGATCACCAGTCATATGTCTTGAGCATCCACTATTTATGAACCACTTTGATTTCTTAACAATGTTCACCAGGTTCACCTACACAAAGATCCACAAGATAATATTTGGTACCCTTTACTTTTTGGGTCCTTGAGAGTTAGCATTATGTCTAACCATCCACATATATCTCATGTCATTTCTCATATTTTTCCTAACATAACAATTGCTTATTATGTGGCCAAATTGACAACAGAAACTACACATAGTTAATGAATTATTCAAATGAACAGGTTTAATAAATCTGATTTGCCTTTTTCTATAGATAGTAAACTCATTTGCACTATGATTCAACCTTTTCTGATGAGTACCAAAGTGAGATTTTGTATCATTTCTTTGAAAACAGTTTTGTTTCTTATGTTGAAACATCTGACTAAGATCATCCATTCTTCTTTTCAAGCTACTTTGTTCATTTTTTAGCATGTCATAGAAGTTTGTCTTTCTATCAAGTTCAGCATGCAAATCATTTTCAATCCTTTTCAGGTTCTCATTTGTATTTTTCAGACATTTGTTTTGTCGAAAAAGGCTTGCATTGTCTTGAATCAGAAAATTAATCTTCTGTTTTAGTTCCTTGTTTCTAACATAGAATTCTTTCAAACTGTTATGGATTCTTTCCATAAAAGAGTTAACATCATCATCAGATTCGTTATCACTATCAGTTTGAGAGTTACAAGTAGTTAGCTCTTCATCACCAATAGCCATGAAAATTATTTGGGCAGACTCCTCTTCTTTTTCGACTTCACCTTCTGAATTGCAGTCATTCCAGGTAATCTGAAAATTGTTAAATCTTGGTTTTCGTTCAACCTTGCTTTTCTTCCTTTTCTTTATTGGACATTCATTTGCGTAGTGTCCAAGTTGACCATATTCAAAGCACTTATCAGTTTGCTTTTCGTTGAACTCTAGCTTCCCTTTATTTCTCAAGATGTTGAACTGATTTGGGAATGAATTGTTGGGTCCACCTTTTCTGAATCTACTCTTGTTGAGTATTCTTTTGAAGCTTTTCGTGATGAGTGCAATATCACTGTCATCACCTTCCATGTCATCTTCATTTAAGGAGGTTAAATCATCTTCATCTTGTGAGATTTTTAGAGCAATACTCTTTCTCACCTTTGTATTTCTTCCTCCTGCACCTTGGACTTGAGTTTCAGCTCATAAAAGGTTAGAGAATTAATAAGAGATTCAATGGGTAAGGTATTTAGATCTTTAGCTTTCTCAATGCAGTCACTTTACTCTCCCAATCCTTGGATAATGCATTCAGAATTTTTCTATTTTTCTCACCTAGAGAGTAATCCTTTTTAAGTACTTCTAAATCCTTAATAAGATCATTGAATCTGCAATACATCTTGTCAATATTTTCATGAGGTTTTATCTTAACGGATTCATACTTAGTGACCAGAATGGATTTCTTTTGTTCTCTCATATTCTCACTTCTTTCATG